GGTCCCACGGTCGAGGGGGGCACTCGGCCGTCTCGAGGCAGCTCCGAGGTCGACGGGGGCGACAGGGATCCTGAACCCTCCGAGATTCCCGACCCTTCTGCCACCTTTGCTCCTCTGTCCCCTGCTGCTGTCTCTCCTCCGTCTGTTTCCCCTGCTCCTCCCTCCAGCTCTCCCCCTCCTTCCTCCTTTCCACCGGCCGAGGAAGGTTCGTCCTCCCGGGGCCGGGGGGTCTTGCGGCAGCCGGAGGATCTCCCCTGGTGCATCCGCGCCAAGGCCGAGGCTGGCCGGGCAGCCAGCAGCCCGCCGGACATCAAGCGGGCTCGCCTCGACTCGGCGCCGCCCGAGTCGGCGGGGCCGGATCCTTCCCCCCCTTCGGTCCCTGGTGGTGTTGGTGGTCCCTCCGCTCCTCCTCACCTCACTCCTCCTCATCCTCCTCCCAGGACTGACCCAGGTGCTGGAGAGTCAGAGGGGCGACCAGGTCCGTCAACCAGCTTCGAGCCGTCCCGGACCGTGGCCGAAAGAGTTCAGGACATCGAGGACCGACGAGCGAGGTCTCGTTCGCCATTCCGAGGCGAGCTCGGGGAGTTTTGGGTTGTCCCGGAGAGCGGGGGTGTTCGGGTCGTTCCGACGGAGCAGCCAGAGTGGACGGGAGATGTGGAGTCTGACGGAGGCGCTTTCGCCGCGAGCCGAGGAGGCGAAGTGTCCCTGAACCGTCTGTCCCCAGCCGAGAGGGCCAAGTTCGCTGCCGCCGATAACAAAGAGTGGGAGGCCATGAAAGCCACGGGAGCCGTGGAGATCATACCTCCGAAGCAAGCCCGGGTCATTCGCCAGCAGCGCGGGGATCGCATCATCTCGAGCCGGATGGTCCGTCGGTGGAAACCCCGCGAGGGGGCGTTTGCGGAACCGGACGCTAAGTCGCGGCGGTGCGTCCATGGTCATAAAGACCCCGATTCTGGAGCCTTCGAGGTCTATGCCCCGACCCCGCAGACTTCCCCCATTATGATGTTCATGCAAGTAGCCATGAACCTTAGTCTGTTGTGTGACGTGGCCGACGTCAAGAATGCGTTCTGTCAGTCCGACAGGATGCAGAGAGCCAAGGGGGAAATATATGTCGAACCGTGTGATGGGGTCGAGCTGGAGAGAGGTTCCCTAATTAGGCTGCTTGTCAACGTCTACGGGTTAGACGACGCCCCCATGGCCTGGAGGCGGACCGTGGTTAGGCACCTTGAGTCCCACGGCTTCGTTCGCTCCCTCCTCGAGCCGCGCTGGTGGATGCGCTACGACTCCCGGGGCCGGCTGCTCAATGCGATGTTGTTAGAGGTCGACGATTTTCTCATCGGGAGCTCCAGTCCCGAGTCCAGGCAGTGGCTTAGAGGGGTCCTGGAGGCCAGGTTCAAGTTTGGCAAGGACCGGGACCTCCAGGCTGGTGCTGTCGATTTCGCTGGAAGGCGTATCACGGTCTCCCAGGACCGGGCTGTAATCGACCAGGAGAAGTACATCTTGGAAGAGGTCCGAGCACTGCCGATGGCCAAGGGGCGACTTTCACGAAAAGACACCCCATTGGAACCTCATGAGTTTCGAGCCCTCCGATCTTCAGTATACAAGTTTAACTGGGTAGGCCGCGAGGCCCGCCCAGAAGCCGCAGGAGTGGCGAGTATTCTCGCGAGCAAGCTGAAGCAGGCTACCACTGGAGATGTCACTATAGCCAACAAGCTGGCCCGTCACCTTCGAGCGTCGGCCTCTCGAGGCCTGACTATCTGGAAGCTGAACCCGGACCGAATGTCCTTCATCTCTTTTTCCGACGCTGGCGGCATCGGGTCCACCGAGGGGTTGTTAGACGATCGGGGCCTTCCTGTTGATCCAACGCAGGGGGCCTGGATGGCCCTGGCGGCCGACTGTTCCGTGCTAGAGAACAAAGCTGTGAAGGCATCAATCCTGGGCTGGCGTTCCTCTAAGCTCCGGCGCAAAGTTCCCTCCACTTTAGCCGGAGAGACCCAGGCCCTCTCAGCGGCTGTGGCCGAGGTGGAATTTCTGCAAATATTATATCGCGACGTCATGTTTCACGACGTCGACACTCCCGACTATTATCGGGCCTCAGGGCCATTCACCACGGTCTTGCGGAGGGATTGCTCACTCGGCTCCCGCGAGAGACAGGTGCACGTCGTGGATGCCAAATCCATGTACGACACTATGCAGAAGGAGGGGGTGGCCTGTGCACGGGATCGTCGCACAGCGATCGATCTGGCGATTATCTGTGAGTCTCTTGAACGTGCTCGTGGGCACGTGAGATGGGTGCCTCACGGCCGTATGCCAGTGGACGCCTTGACCAAAGAAGATGTTACTAAATGTAACGCGGCGTTATTCGATCTCATGTCTCATGGACGTCTGATACTAGTTGACGAGGACACCGAAGTTGCACGGCGTCGAGAGACCCCCAGCCTCAAGAGCAGAAGTCAGACCGCCTCTCGAGACGAGCTCTCCCGGAACAACTTCCTGGCCTGGTTCGAGTTCCGGGACCCTGGCGGTGATGGTGGTGGTGGTGGTGGTCCTCCTCCTCTCTCTCCTTCTCTCCCCATCCCACATTCTCTCCCGTCGTTTCCGCTTTTCCAGTAGTGAACAGTAATCCATCCTTCTTCTCGTTTCTCCGTGATCTGGGCGAGGAGCCAGCTCTGCAGCCAGAGCAGGGCAGTCTCCCCAGGTTTTGTCAATCAAGGGTGCTAAACCTAGGAGAAGTTGGACGAGTGTAACCGACTTCCAGAATTTGATCGATAGGTTTAGCGTTTGTAGTTCATTCTTGCAGACCTATAAGGCAGGTCACATTAGTTTCGTGACACTGTTACCGTTATGGCTCAAGGCCTAAAACATTCATCCAATCCCTTGCTGCCACAATGTGCAATCTGCATTGATTTCCATTGCTTTGCATCGCCTTGCGTTGCGCATTGCTTTGCATTACGTTGCATTGCTTTGCATCCAATTGCGGTATTTTGTTTTGCCTTGCATTGAGTTGTTTACCCTTGCGTTGCATTGCGCTGCATTGCGATGTGTTGCTTTGCGTTGCTGTCATTGCGTTGCATTTCTTTGCGTTGCTTTGTACTCATTTGCGTTGCATTGAATTCGCACTGCATTGCATTGTATTGTTTTGCGGTACTTGGCATTTCCCTGAATGGGTTTACATTGTTCCGCATTGCGGTGAATTGCAGTGCGCCGCATGGATAACACCATATGAGTTGCATCACCGAGTTTCCACCACATAGATTGCACCACCTAGACTGCACCGCATTTGTGTTAAAGAAATCGCTGTTCGGGGTTAGCATTGGCTCACCCATCACGTATACACTCATACAGCTATGCCTATACATACTGGACATGTATATATGCATGGAAATACATATACATATACATATACATTTACATATATACATACATATACATATACATATACATCTACATATACATATACATATACATATACATAGACAAATACATAGACATAGACATAGACATGTACATGTACATGTACATGTACATATACATGCACATACACATATACACATACATATACATATTCATATATGCAGGTGTCACAAACATAACTCAGCTATGATAGGTATAATTTGTATGTGTATATGTGTACAGAATGATGCACAAGATGAGGAGAGCTCAGCATAAATAAGATAGAGAGAGAGAGAGAGAGACGGAACGAGAAAAGAGAGAGAGAGAGAGAGAGAGACAGAGGGAGAGGCAGAGAGAGGCCAGAGCGTGATCTGCCCTGAGGCGGGCGCTTGGGTGACTATCCTCCTGGCAACTTCACGGCTTGGCCCCCCGCGCGTGCCAGTGCGGGAGGGCGGCGACGACGACGGCGGCAGTGGCGAAGACGACGACGGAGACGACCACGGGCGAGGGACCTCCCCGTACATCCGACGTCGTGGTTTTCTCACAGCGAGGCTGCCCAGAGGTCTGGGCACCTCTTCCCGTGGACCGGCTTCTCGTCCCGAATCATTTTTTGAGCGCCCTGGGGCCCGGCAGGGGCCCCGAACTTTGTTGTCACGACGCGAGGATGTCGGGGTCCGGAGGCGGCGGAGGGCCGGGGGCGGCTGAGAGGGGGGTGATGACTAGGGGGGGTATCACGTCCTCGGCCAATGGCCATGTTGTCTCTCCAGATTTCATGGCCCCCTCCTCCTTCCGGGGCTCGCGCAACGGGGGTCAGCGCCAGACCCCATCCCCTCTTCCGCCCTCCGCCGACCCCGGTCTGGGAGCGGCTGGGCGGCCGCCTGGGCTTCGCGGCAGGGCCCGGGCCGGCCCGGGTCGGTCTGGGGGTCGGAAAGGGGTGTGGCATGAAGAGGTGTGGTTGGAGGCCTGGAAATGGGCACCAACACCAACACAGGGGCTTGCCTAAACAGGGCGAAGATGATCCTAGATTCCGGCGTTGGTGGCAATATTTCGGCCACCTAGGACGCCGAGTATTACAACCATCGCCGAGATCGGGATCTTCTTCCCCCGGTGGAGGCACACCGCCGAAATTGGTGTTGATGTCGACCTCTAGGCCTGCCATCTGGCGCCAATCGTGGCCATGGCGATGCTATCTTCGATGAATAACATCACCAGAGTCCCCCCCCCTTTGCGTGAAGTTAAAACCACGCCCCTTTATGCCATGCCCCTCTCCTGCCTCCAGAGTCGGGGCTGACCCGTGTTACGGTGGGCCCCGCTTCTCCTCGCAGCGCTTCCCTGGGCCCCCCCCGACGCCCGCGCACATGCCTCGGGCCATGACCTGCGACGCCCCTTCTCGGGCGCCCCCCCCCCCTTCCCCAGATGCTCGGATCGACGAGCCCCAGGACGTGCGTTAGCCCACTGTGTGTGTGTGTGTTTGCCCCGCTCAGCTCCGCCAGCAGATCGCTGCATCACCTGCGTCGTATTGAGCGGTCTCGACGGACACGCACACGCCGGCGTTAACACGCGTTCTGAGGGTCCTCGATCGGAGGCCCCGAGAGAGGGGCGGCGAGGCCGCCCAGCGGGTCGTGCTCGCGCTGCTCGTGCTCCCCTGGGGCTGCGGCGCCGCACAGACCGCGGGGGAGCTCTACTGCGGCGAGCAGGACGGGCCGCCCCGTCCTTCGGCGGCGCGCAGCGGAGGGCGGCGCAGAGGGGACCGCCGTTGAAGGGCTCGGGAGCTTGTGGGGAGGCTTCTTGCCAGGAGGGCTTCTGAGGAGGTTTTGTCCTTCAAGAGGCCCTGCCGCCCCGCTTTCTGAGAGGGCCGCCCCCAGAATCGGCGGCGCGCACAAGAGGGTGGCGCAAAGGGGAGTGGCCTTCTGATAAATCTCGGCCGTCGTCGTCATCGCCGCCGTCGCAGTCGAGCAGAAGGGGCCGTCGCCCTTCGGCGGCGCGCAACAGATCGGATAGGATCGGCCTTGCCAAGGTGAGCCGCGAGGGCCCGGCAAGTTGGCGCCGGGCGCTATCCATTCGTTAAACCACGGGCGGTAGCGAAAGCGACCCTTGGCTGGGCAGCTGCGTCGGTCAGCACGGCTGTTTGGCAGAGGAGAGGGAAGGGGAGGATGAGGAGGAGGAGGAGGAGGAGGAGGAGGAGGAGGAGGAGGAGGAGGAGGAGGAAGGATGAGAGGAGGAGAAGGAGGAGGAGGATGAGGAGGTGGAGGAGGAGGAGGAGAGAGGAGGAGGAGGAGGAGGAGGAGGAGGAGGAGGAGGAGGAGGGAGAGGGAGGGGGATGAGGAGGAGAGGAGGAGGAGGAGAGGAGGAGGAGGAGGAGGAGGAGAAGGAGGAGGGACGGCGGGGAATGAAAACGACAGAACGAGGGTGTCGCAAAGGGGGGCGGCCTTCGCAAACCAGCCACCACATGGGGGATCTGTGCTCCGTCTGTGATCTACCATCGGCCTCGACGCCCCTCTCTGGAGGTACGATGCGTTCACCCAGGGGGCGGTGGCTGGGTCGCCACTGCTGCTGCCGATGCCGCGGCGCGTGCGGGACGGCACATCAGCTGCGACGGCGCCAAGAAGTACGCCTGCCCCTGCGGAAGCCGCAGCAGATGGCACCTCCAATGCCATCACATGACTGAAACTCGCATGACTTCACGTCGCAGTGAGCGACCCCCAGCCGTCTCCCGCGTCTGACTCTGTGGACCGATTTGCGTTCCTCCTCCTCCTCCTCCTCCTCCTCCTCCTCCTCCTTAGTTCATCTGCTTCTCACCCCCCTCCCTGGAGAATCCTTGTCGCCCTCCACTCACTCCACTGCTTTCCCTTCGCGCTCCTCCTCCTCCTCCTCCTCCTCCTCCTCCTCCTCCTCCTCCTTCTCCTCCTCCTCCTCCTCCTCCTCCTCCCCCTCCTCGGCCACCTCCACGGCCGCGACCACCACCACCGCCGTGACCACCACCACCACCGCCGCGACCACTACCACCGCCGCCGCGGCCACCACATCATCATCGTCTTCCTCCGGCAGCCATGAGCGCTCCCAGAGCCGATGCGGCGGCCCGGCGCAGGACAACTGCTACGATCTGCTGGGCGTCGACCGCAGCGCGGACGCGGCGACAATCAAGAAGGCCCGCGGGGAGCGGCCGTGCCAGGGTCGTTGGCGCGTCGCGCCGCTCGTCGACCGCCTCTTCACCACAAAGAGAGAGAGGACTTTGGAGGAAGCGGGTCTGGGCGTTGGTCGTTTTTGTTCGAGCTCCCTCGGGCCCTCCAGAGGCCCAGGGGCCGTCGAAAAGGCAACGAGATGAGGGAGGGGTCCCAGAGAGCCAGGGGGGGCCAGGTCCTGTTTGCACCGCGACTCTTCTCCCTCATGCCAGTGTTCTTCACAGTCTTCCCTCTCGGGCCCTCGGGGAGACCGTCGTCGCCGCGGCCAGACGCGGCCCGAAACGCTGGTCGGAGGTTCCTGGAAGCTCGGGGGCAGATTGTTGCTGGGATTCGGCCAGGAGGAGGCGTTCCTGCGACTCCGGCGTTTTCTGCGCTCACGCCCCACACCTCTCCACCACCTCGCCCGAGCAGGCCGAGCAGGCCGTGACCCGCCGCCCCCTGCGTCGCCCGACTGTCCTCTTCCGCTCTGCCTCTGGCTCACGAGTTGGCGCCTGCCGTCCGTGCCGCGTGCGGGTGTTCGCTCCCTGCGGTGATGGCTCGCCTCGCTTCCCGTCCGTCCGCCTTCCCTGCCCTGGAGGGTTTCTCCGAAGGGCTTAGACGACCCGTCCTCCTCTTTCTCCTCCTCCTCCTCCTCTTCCTCCTCCTCCATCCTCCTCCTCCTCCTCCTCCTCCTCCTCCTCCTCCTCCTCTTTCTCCTCCTCCTCCTCTTCCTCCTATTCCTCCTCCTGCTCCTCCTCCTCCTCCTCTTCCTCCTCCATCTCCTCCTCCATCTACTCCTCCAACTCCTCCTCCCCCTCCCCCTCCTCCACCTCCTCCTCCTCATTCTTCTCCTCGGGTCGCCTACGGCCCCGGGGGAAACCGTGCACCCTGCCCCCCTTTCCCCCTTTCCCAGACTCGCTTGCCCGGCCGCGCGGTTCCTGCTTCTGCTCTCCGCTGTCAGCGCGATGCCTCCGCATTGTCGTCCCGTTCGTTTTCCATGATTGCCGCCGCATGTGGGTTGTCGCCTTGTTGGTACACGTGTGCCGCATGGGATCAGCAGATTTCTAGTCCGCATGCTTACTACACTGAGTTGCGACACGTCCATCATGGTGTCTAGTAGTGTTCTGCCCATCCCGCCACCGCGCCTGGGTCGTGAGCAAGAGGCCTCTGAGCAGCCTCCTCCTGGGGGTTCCCAGCAGATCTCTCTGAGGGGGGGGGGGCTCTTGGAGGTCTCTTGGGGGCCCCGAGGGCGCCTCTTTGCGGCCTCTGTGGGCCTCTGGGGCGCTGTCTGGAGGCCTGCTAGCATCGGAGACAACCTTGGGGTGGAGGGCTCGGCATGTCTGCTCAGGTTTCCCCTTTGGGGGCCCCTCTTGGGGCCGTCTTGTGGGCCCCTTGGGCCGCTCTTGGGGGCTTTGGGGCCTTCTTGGGACGATCTTGGAGGCATCTTGGGCCGTCCTGGACGCTCGTACGACCGCAAAGCGGAGCATAGAAACATCATCAGAGTTAGGGAGCTGAGCGGTCATTCGCTGCCCCTGGGTGCGTGGCAGAAGTGGGGTTCCGCGGTGAAGATTGTTGTTGCGTTGTTGTTGTTGTTCTTGCTGTTGATGTTGTTGTAGTTATTGTTGTTGTTGTTGTTGTTGTTGTTGTTGTTGTTGTTGTTGTTGTTGTTGTTGTTGTTGTTGTTGTTGTTGTTGAACATTACTACTTCTAAAGAATAATTATTGTTGGGGCCCCTGGTGCACGACCCCCCCGCCGCGCCTATGCCGCAGCCTCATTTTCATCATTTTCGTGAGGAAGTCTCAGGCAAAACGGGGGAGTCCGGATCCGGTTGTGTTGTTACGATCGGTTTCCCCTTGCAAAAAATAAGCTAAAGTGGACATTTCTTGTTCTAACATAACCAAACTTCAAGAATCCCTTGCAAAAAATAAGGTAAAGTGGACATTCGCGCGCGCAAGACGAAATCCTTCCAAAACCTTAGTTTTCGTAGCGATTTTAACATAAAAACATCAAAAAACCAATGGTTTTTCAAAAAAAAATGTCAAAATTTCATCCCGCGCGCTCTTGCGGATTCGTAGGAAACCCAACACTTTTTAATCATTTCTGTCAAACGGGCTTTTGCGAGCAACTTTTTCGAACTTCTGCAACAACGGTTGCGCACCTGCCAGGGCCATCATCCCTGTCAAATAATACCATGCGGGACACATTCGTTTTTTCTTCGCGCGCGCACGCCGTCGTCGTCGGCCGCGGGGCCCTGAATAGTAGCCACGGTCGTCCGCATGCCACGAAGTGAAGTGTCCGAACGTCATAGGGCGGGAAGCTGGGTGTGGGTGGTGGCGAAGAGTCGTTTGGAAATTTGGTAGAGCTTGAACCGGCCCCCCCACAAAGTGGGGGTATTGCCCGCCTCCTGTGAAAACCCTGGCACTGGTGAGAACGGTGTGTCCCCACGTGCTAGTAATTGTTGTTGTTGTTGTTGTTGTTGTTGTTGTGGTTGTGGTTGTGGTTGTGGTTGTTGTTGTTGTTGTTGTTGTTGTTGGTGTTGGTGTTGGTGTTGTTGTTGTTGCTGCTGCTGTTGTTGTTGTTGTTGTTGTTGTTGTTGTTGAACTCTCATTACTGAAGAGTAATTATGTCTTGTTGATCCCCCCTCTGGTGACCATTTGTGTTTTTTAACTGAAGTGCTTCCCCGGGGGCTCGCACCCTGTTTTCTTATCGGGGAAAGGCACTGGGCTCAAACTGGGCCCCTGGCCCCCAGTTTACAACAACAGCGGTTCCCGCCTGATACTTCCTCACAATGTATTCCCAAATCGCGTTCTCGCGCGGAACTTCTCACAATTCATGTACGCATCGCGCTCCCGCGTGGGACTTCCTCGCAATTTACCCAGACGATGCGCCCTCGGCGCTCAGGAATCACGCTCTCGCCTTGGCTTTTCTCACGATTTACTTGGGAATCGCGCTATCGCTCGAGCTTTCCTCGCGATTCATGCAGGACCCACGCTTCAGCAGCCCGTCTGCTCGACCTCGTTGCCTGGGCCCACCTTTCTGACCTGCCCGCTATGGGTCTGCCCACCCGATCTGCCCGTCTGGTTCTACAATTTGTTCTCTGCTCCTTGCCCCCCTTCTGCTAATTTCTCTCGTGTCCATTCTTCTCCCTCCCCCTTTCCACCCGTCCTCTCTTCCCTTGTTTTAGGGGCTACACTACGTACACGTGGCAGGTAAGGAAGATATACCCCCAAGGGGGTACGATCGAAGACGACGAGGGCGGGTACCGAGGGTTTGGGATATACGTGTTGATTGGCACGTGAATGGATAGGAGCGGACAGTCTTAAACGGATTGGTGTTGTTGCGATTGTTGTTGTCATTGTTGTTGTTGCTGTTGTTGGTGATGTTGTTGTTGGAGGGGTTGTTGTTGTTGTGGTTGTGGTTGTTGTGGTTGTTGTGGTTGTTGTTGTTGTTGTTGTTGTGTTTGTTGTTGTTGTTGTTGTTGTTGTTGTTGTTGTGTGTGTTGTTGTTGTTGTTGTTGTTGTTGTGGGTGTTGTTGTTGTTGTTGTTGTTGTTGTTGTTGTTGTTGTTGTTGTTGTTGTTGTGTTGTTGTGTTTGTTGTTGTTGTTGCTGTGTTTGTTGATATTGTGCTGCAGCTGCTGTTGCTGTTGTTGTTGTCGTTGTTGTCATCGTTGTCGTTGTCGTTGTCGTTGTCGTGGTCGTTGTTTTTGTTGTTGTCGACTGAATCAGAATTACTAAACGGTTTACCATGTGTGGACCCCCTACAGACTCCCTGGCGCTCTCGCCTCGGCGCCGGCTGCATTTCCTTTGACAATTAGGCTCACGCTCAGGCGTTTCCGCGGACCGCAGCGGCGCCCCCCCGCCCCCAACAACAACAACGCTCTCCGCTCGATACTTCCTTGTTTCTGCTCTGGACCTGGGCTCTTGCTCGCCGCCGAAAGCCGGCTCTCCAACAAATCCGGCGCTCCCGCTCGAGGTTTCCTGGATTTTTACTCAGGACTGGCGCTCCCGCCTCGGCGCCGCAAGTGGGCCCCCCTTGCAAACAACGACGATCCCGCTCGATTGTTCTTCCGCTTTTGTTCAAGACTCCCACAGGCCCTGAGGTTTCCTTAGCCTTTGTTCAGCGTTCATCATTGAAACACCGTAATTGTTGGACACCCTACATCCGCCGAGGTTTTTTCGCCTCGGCGCCGGTCGCAGATCCTCTGGATGCATGCAGGACTCACGCTTCAGCAACCCGCCTGCTCGACCTGGCATCCTGGGCCCGCCTTCCCGACCCGCACGCTAGGGTCTACCCGCCCGATCAGCCCTTTTGGTTCTGCCACGTGTTTTCTGCTCGTAGCCCCCCTCCTGATAGTCTTTCCCGCTCCTCCATTATTCTCCCTCTCGATTCTCCCCCTCCTTTTTCCAGGGCCCACACCAATTCCAATGGCGGGCACATGTACGCCCACGAAGGATTGTCCGCCCGTTCAGGTTCCCCCGCCTGTTTAAGCCCGCCGCCCCCCGCAAAGAGAAATAATCCCCCCAAAGGGTGTGTGATCGAAACCAAAAAGGGCGGATATCGAGGGTGTGGGGAACTCGTTTTGAATGGCACGCGGGCAAGTAAGAGCGAACAGTCTTAGAATGATTGTTGTTGTAATTGTTCATCCTAAGATGGGGTTCTTGTACCCTCCTCCTCCTCCTCCTTCCCCTCCTCCTCCTCCTCCTCCTCCTCATCCTCCTCATACCCAGATTTACCCATACACAGACTTACTCATACCCAGACCTAATCATACTCAGGTTTTTTCGTGACACCGTACGCTCACACCCACCCACATCCATACCCAGTCATAGTCATACCCACTCCCACTCGTACTCGTGTACATTTTTTGCGGTACAGCTCGTTTCCTCCCACTTGGACTTACTCATGCTCATCTGTATTCATACCCAGACCTATTCATACAAAGCTTACTAATGCCCAGACTGACTCATACTTAGACTCACTCGTGTTCGGACTTACTCATGCTGAGACTCACTCATACCCAGACTTACTCATACCCTGATTCGTTCTCAAACGTATTCATACACAGACTTATTCCGACTCAGGCCTGCTCATACTCAGGATTTCTCAGTGTCTGGCTTATTCGACACACAGCAGATTGTCAGGATGTCTCAGGCGGGACGATGGTTTCAGCACCCCCAAGAGGAGCCGCCAGGGGTGTTTCCACGGTCCCGTTCGCAGCAATTGTGTGGGGATGTCTCAAGCGGTTTGCCTGTTTTCTGTATCAACATCATTGGCTATCAGAACAGATTCTGAGGATGTTTCAGGCGGGGCGCTGGTTTCAGCACCCCCACGGGGAGCCGCCAGGGGTGCTTTCACGGTCGCGTTCGCAGCAAGTCTGTGGGGACGTCTCAAGCGGTTTGCCGGTTCTCTGTCTCAACATTTTTTGCTATCGGAGCAGATTTTGACGATGTCTCAGGCGGGGCGCTGGTTTCAGCACCCCCAAGGGGAGCCGCCAGGGGTGTTTTCACGGTCCCGTTCGCAGCAAGTTTGTGGGGATGTCTCAAGCGGTGTGCTTGTTTTCTGTTTCAACTTCATTGGCTATCAGAACAGGTTTTGAGGATGTCTCGAGCGAGGCTTTCATTTTCACCCCCCAGGTGGGCCAGATGTTGAGGATGTCTCGATCGGTTTGCCTGTGTTGGTGGCCAGACTTGTGGGCACAGATTCTCCTCAGGATGCCACAGGAGGCTCCAACAGGCTCCAGGAGGCCACATGAGGTCCCAGGAGGCTTCAGGAGGCCACAGACAGACTCAAGAGGCCACAGGATGTCCCAAGAGGCTCCAGGAGGCCCCAGGAAGCCCAGGGAGGCCTCAGGAAGCCACAGAAGGCCCCAGGAGGCCACAGGAAGCGCCAGGAATCTTCGGAAGGCAACAGGGGACCTCGAGAGGCCCAAGGAGCAGGAGGCCTCAGAAGGCAACAGGAGTGGATCCAATCCCATGTGTGTTTACGTATGCTCCTATGTATTGGGCCTCACCTGGAACACGAATCCTTGATGATATACGTATGTTTCTATATATATATATATATATATTGTCCTTCTCCTGTGCACACAAGCCTAAAACTGTTATTGATGTTCGCATGTATTGGGCCTCTCCTGGGGCAGGAGTCCTTGGTGTTTTAAACTATTCCTATAGATTGCCCTTCTCCTGCGGCTCCAATCCGCAATGCTTATGTACGTCTGTTGCTATACACTGGTCCTTTCCTGGGGCACGAATCCTCCCTAGGAGGTACCAGGAGCCCCCAAGAGGCTCCTGGAGGCTCCAGGAAACCCCAGTAGGTTTCAGGGGGGCCCAGGAGGCCCCAGGCTCATGCGCAGAGACGCGCTCGTACTACTGAGGCTCATTCACACTCCAATTCATTCGCAGTTAGATTCATGACCAGACCGTCACAACTCAAGCCCGTTTATATTCGAAAACTCTTGCGCCTAGACATTCACGGCGGACAGGTCCATGCGAATAGATGCACATATGGGGAGCTCCACGCAGTGAATAATTGTTGTCCTTGTTGTTGTCGTCATCGTGTCGTCGTTGTCGTCGTCGTCGTCGTTCGTCGTCGTCGTCGTCGTCGTCGTCGTCATCCCACCCGCGACCCACCCGCAACCAGTCCGCGACCCACACGACCCGCCCGCGACCCACCTGCGACCCACCACCGCCCCACCCGCGACCCACCCGCGACCCACCCACGACCCACCCACGATCCACCCGCGACCCGCCCGCGACCCACCCGTGACCCCCCGCGACCCCCCCGTCGCCCATTCTTTCCTATCCGCAATTGCGGGGTGCTACACATATTTGCGTGATGTGTTTCAGTGATTTGGGCCTCGCAGGCCCACGTGCCCCCAGGAGGGCTCCAGCACGGACCCATGGAAGCATGTTAGAGCATGCTGGAAGTTCGGAATCCGAGTGCCGCTTACGAGGCCTCGGAAAAGTCACGCGGCGCCCGAGATAACCTGGACATTCTCGGAACTCGGGGGGCTAGGCTCCTTCAACATTATTTACAGAACTCATCTCACACAATTCGAAGGCATCTGAGGACATTCCGCCCAGTGCTGGCACGATGGGTGGCAAGAAGCGGGAGCAAGGGGCGGGACATGTCGGAAACGCTGGACTTGCTTAGATGGCTCATTCGACGTCCAGACCCCCTCCCCGCCCTTCCCATCTATCTGCCCTTGCTTCCCTCCCCCCTTCCTCTTCCCTTCTCCTCCCCTCCCCACTCATTTACCACTCTCTCCCCCTCATCGCCCTCCTCGCTTTTCCTTCCCCTTCCTTGCCCTCCCCCGTTACCCTCCCATCCCCCCATTACCCTCCCATCCCCCGCTCGTTTCTCCCCCTCCTCCCCCGACCCACCCCCTCTCCCTTCCCCCATCACCTCTTCCCCATATCCCCGCTGGCCCAATGCAAACTCACCCCCTCACCGTCGGCCCCGTGTGACCATCTCCTCAGGCCTACCGGAAGCTCGCCCTGAAGTGGCACCCGGACAAGAACAAGCAGGCCGGCGCCAAGGAGCGCTCGACAATGAGCTGGGTGATCGGAGGAGGATGAGTGGGATAGCAGGAAGAAGGAGGAGGAGGAGGAGGAGGAGGAGGAGGAGGAGGGAAGAGGAGGATGAGGAGGAGTAGGAGTGGAATAGACAGAGAGAGCGGAAGGCCAGGCAGGAGGAAGAGGAGGAGATTGAAGAAGCGGAGGAGGCGGAGATAACGAGGGCCGTTGCCGCTATGGAGACACATGCCCGCAGCTCGAAGCTCGACGCGGGAGACAGAGACTAGGAGGATGGTGATGTTGATGACGATTGTGGTGGTGATGGTGAGGGCGGCGATGGTGATGGCGATGTTGATGATGCCGAGGAGAAGGAAAAAGACGAGGTGGGAGGAGAGGACAAGGGCGACATGACTCAGCGCGTCCCGCCCAAATGTCGTTCCACAAACACACTGGGAGTGTTAAGCGGAGAGGGAAGCGGACAGGGATGGAGATTAAGATGAGGTGGACCAGGAGGAGAAGGATGGGATGGGGGGGAGGATTGGTTATTCCAGATTTAGTAATAAAGGGAGGGGGGTCTCATTTCGGGGGGGTCTCTTCCAGGCTATCTTGGAGGGCCTGGGGGGGTCTGGGGACGATGTTTTGGAGGGTTCTCCCACGGGGGGGGTCTGAAATATCTTGTCTTGGAGGGTCCAGACCCCCTCCCTTATATTACGAAACCTGGAGTAGTGATGGTGGAGTAAGAGATGGAAACGAGAATAAGGAAGTGTTACACAGTTGGTTATGCCGAGCAACCAGGATCAGAAATCGCCCGACCGCTGTTAGGCTCAAACTCCATGTTTCCATCAAGTGTAAACTGCCTGCCACGCCTACTCTCCCTGAGAATTTGGTCAGGATGTGTGCTGCGCCCGCACTCGATCGGGTGGGCTCGCTACTGCGGGGGGGACAATCCTGAGAGTAATTGCAGGAGGAGGGCGAGGTCGTCTAGGTGGATGAGGCGGAGGGAGTAAGAGGTGGTGGGGGGAGGAAGGAGGAAGGATGAGGGAGGAAGATGAGGAGGAGAAGGAGGAGGAACAGGAGGAGGAGGAGGAAGAGGAGGAGGAGGAGGAAGAGGAGGCGAAGGAGGAAGAAGAGAAGGAGGAGGCATTCGGGAACTATTCGATCAAACGGGTTACGTACTCAGCCTTGCTGCGCAGCCATTGCTCTGTTCTCAACTCAAGGTGCTGTAACACCCGACGCGCGGGCGAGAGTCACCAAATCTACAGCTCTGCAGACGCAATTCGCGCCCAGCACGTTTCAGCTCGTGCACGCGTGTTGCGCCATCCCCTGCGCCTAGAGGCCGAAGTAGGCGCAGCAACCTCCTCTTGCGAGACCGGGTATTGAACCACGTTTTTCGCCGTAACTTTGGGAGGGTACGCCAGCACGGCGGTTTCCAAGTCCAACGAAGCTGCTGCCGTACCGTTCTCGGGCTTGGTCTTACAGTAACTAAACGTGCCAGACGCTGCTGCAATCGCGCTCCATTCCAGCTCGGCATGCATCATCAAGTACTCGTCAGGTCACGGGCCCTGCTGCTGCCCTAGATCCCAAGGCCCCCCCCCCTGGCGACGCCGACGTCGCCGGCTGCGGCGGAGGCGACCTCGACGACGCCGACGGCACCGGCGGCGGCCGCGACGGCGGCGGCCGCGACGTCGGCGACTGTGACGGCGGTGGCGGCGGGGACGGCGACGGCGCTGCCCCCCCGGGAGGAGCGCTTCACGAAGATCAGCCGGGCGCACGAGGTGCTCTCGGACGACAAGCTGCGCCCAGCCTACGACTATGCAGGGGGGGCTCCCGCCCGTCGCCCCGCCGCGGCCCCCGTCGGCCTCGTCGGGTGAGCCCTTCTCGCCGCCACTTGAGCGATGCAGGAAAACGGGTTCGACTGCGCGGACATTCACGCGTAAGCTGCCCGCGCATGGTCAGCGCCATCGTCGGTGCGCTGGCGGTCCGCGTAAGCCACTGGGTAAATTGGCATGTCATCTTGCGTCAGGCCCGTTTCTTTTCGTCGCTCATTTGATTGGCGCGGGCACCAACCAGAAGGTCCGGGGCGAACATAAAAATGTAAGGGCGCGTATTTTATATGGGTTTCGAGAGCGTGCGTTGCGCGGGCGCTCGGGGCACTAGGCTGGCCTCGCTGTCTGGGAGGGCCGTAATCATGCACGTGGCCTGGCGCGCGCGTCTTTTGTGGGCCCCGAGATCGCGCAGTGCGTGAACGCTCGTGAGACGAGGCTGGCCTCGCTGACTGGGGGGGGGCATGCACGAGGCTGGGCGCGTGCGTCTGCTGTTGGCTCCCTACAGGGGCCTCGCCTGGACGAGCGTAGACGCTCCGAGAGTGTCTTCGGCCAGCAGGGCCCGGCCATCGACGTCCGCGAGCGCCTGCGCCAGGGGGAGGTCGCGCTGAGCTGCGATTGCGACTGCGGGTCGCAGTGGGGAGCGCTGGCAGACTTGTTTACTCTCCTCGTGTGTTTCGTCCCTCCTCTCTTTCCCCTCGCCTTTTGGCTCGCCCTCCCCTTCCTCATCGTCGTCGTCTGCCCTCGTCGTGCTCATCGCCCCTCCCTCGACCTCCTCCTCCTCCTCTTCCGCTTCTGTCTCCTCCTCCTCGTCCTCCTCCTCCTTCTCTCCATCCTTCTCGTCTTCGTGGCGCTACCCTTCCCTCTTCTTCCCCCTCTTCCTCTCCACTGGCGCAGCGCCCTCCCGCCTCCTCCCTCCCTCTACTCTTCTCTTCCTTCCCCTGCTCCTCATCTCCTCTCCTCCCCCTCCCCCTCCTCGACCTTATCCTGTTCTCTCACTCCCTCCCTCCCTCCGCCTCCACCTCTCCAGTTCTGCTCGTCGGAGATATCTTGTTGACCATCCTGGAGGCCCCAACGCGGCTCGCAACTTCGCCTCTTCCCCCCTCCTCCTGCCTCCCTTTCGCCTCCTCATACACCTCTTCCTCCTCTGAGCAAGCTGGGGCGCAGCCTGGGGTGGGGGTACAGGCCGCCCCACCCCCTCAAAGGTTAGGGGGGGGGGGTTCGAAACGCCCGAAAGTCGGGGGGGTGGGGGTCGAACCCCGCCCACCCCCCCGCTCTGGCAAACGATGACGACGAGGACCCCGACGGCGATGACGCTCGGAGGCAGCAGACGGTGACGACGATGAGGAGGACGACGACGAGGCCGACGGCGACGACGACGCCGACGAGGCCGACGGCGACGCCGACGCCGCCGACGACGACGACGCGTTCCGCCCGCCCGCCCGACCGACGTCCTGGCTTGATCAGGAGGGCGTATCCAACGATCCCGCGGAGGGACGGAGCAGAGGGTCGGGCGGGAGGGATGCAGGAGACAGGGGGGGGGGGGGGGCGGAAGGCAGGAGGGACGGACGGGCGGGAGGGAACGGGACGGACGGGCGGACGGAAGAGGTGGAGCTGGCAGAGGGCTTGGGGGGAGGGGTCTCCTTGTTCCAAGTTTGGGGCTTGCGGACTTCCTGGACCACCCGGAGGACCGGTATGCGCACTTGCGGTGCCACCTTTTATCCTCTCTTGTTCGCGCTGCCAAGCAAGCCAAGGATGAGGGCAAGACGTTCTGGAGCGCTCTGGGGTTGCTGCGTCGCCCGATGCATACACCAAACCCGCCGGCTTTCAGAGGTTCCTGACGTATGCTCTTCCGATTTTGTCCTCATCCTTGCTTCGTATTGTGCTGCTGCTGCTGCTGTTGCTGCTTCGCTTCGCTACCGTCACGCCCCTGCTCCTGTTCGAAGAGCGACTCCAGGTGGCGATCTGCAGACAGGGCCTCGCTTTCGGCGCACCTCGCCCTCGGCGGAAGCCAGCGGAAGGCTGGCGATGTCCGGCGGAAGCAAAAGTGCGGCGGGTCCGCGGGCGGAAGTTGGGGGAAGGCCGGCGGAAAGCGGCGGAAGAAGGAAAAGCGAGACGTCAACATGTTAGGTTTCAGGATTTCTGGAGCGGGCCGGGAGGGGGCGCCCCCAGCGGGTGAGCTCGTTCAAGCCCTCGCCACCTTTCCCTTCCCTCTTCGTCCTCTCTGTGTGCCCTGTTCTCTGTCCCCGGTGCTCTCTCCATCCCTCCCTCGCCCGCCTCCCTCCCCATATCCCCCCCGACGCATTCGCGCCTCATGGAGTTGTACTGCTCAGCCTCCGTCCGTCTCCTGGCCTTCCTTCCTATCTCCTTCCGCTGGTACTACCATGCGGTCTACGCCCCGAAGACACCGCTGTGGGCCGTCACCACCGGAGTGTTGCTCTTCTTCTCCCTGCTGCAGTACATCAACCAGCACTGGAAGTACAATTCCATGATGCGTTGCATAAGGCCTCGCGCGTCCCTTTGGCAAGTGTGGACTGGAATCGGGAGGCTGTATTACAATAGTATAACACCACGCCATCGTCTCTACAGTATCGCCTTGGCCGCCTCTATGTTTTGGATTGCTCTGTCTCTCTCTCTCTCTCTCTTTCTCTCCCTCTCTTTTGTTTCTCTCTCTCTCTCTCTCTTCTCTCGTTCTTTTTCGCGTTCATTGTGGGCGTGATTGCCTAGTCCTCTCGTGCTCAGCAGCAGCATCAGCTCCGCGAACTCATGCGAGCTGCGCCTCCATGGCAACATTTCGCGAACTCCCTGGCTAATCCGTGGTCGCGAAGGTGAATATTGAAGTTCCCGAGGCGCAAACTGCTAGATGGCGTTCAGGAGCACCCTACTGTTCCAGGTGTGGTCGGGCTGCGAATTGTCCCAGGTCAAGCCACGGTCCCTTGCATTTCGCGGTTTGCACTTGTCAGTTGTCAGGAGTGGGCAGCGTCACATGGGAAGGAGTCCTCTTGTTCCCTTCTCCTTCGAGAGCAACTGTATACGGTAGGTTTACGCGGCGTTGGCGCGCCGTCGACGCCAGTGAAGGCGTTCAGGGTGAAATTCCGCGACGCCGACGCACCGATGGAAACGGTAACACCACGGGACCCGCCTGAAGTCAATTTTGAACGATCGGGGCCTTGGTCGATTCGAGGTTGAACGATCGACGCGGTCTTCTGCACGAGCCAACTGTAACCATAAACGTCTGCGGTGTGCCCGGATTTCTTGGATCGGCGCTGGACCCTGGCGCGCAGAGCGCGGAGCGCGCCAGGGGCGGCGCTGGAAACGCCACCAGGGGGGTTCAGCGCCGATCCAAGAGATCCACGCGGACTTCCGAAAGTTTACGTGTACGCCGTGCTTTTCCTTTCTAAACGCATTCTTCCCCTCTCCTTTCCCTTCCCCCTCGCATGCCTCTGTCTCCCGCCCTCCTCCCTGGGCCGTAATGACTTCTTCGGCATGAGAGATTCGTGATGTCAGCGCGTTGACCCCGAGCGGTGACTCTCACGCAGCCCACAGGTGCAGCACGTGGGTGGTCCAGCGTGCGGGGTAGAATCATTGGGCGCAATCTATGGGGCGCTGTGCGCGCCGACGGGGTGCAATCTGTGGGGCACCATGCAGTCAAGACATTGCGATGAGGACCACTTTGGGCTCGCGAGGGGCTTGGTTTTCGGGCCACTTCTCAGATCCAGATCGGGGGGCCAATTCGAGACCGAGGGCTTGAACAGCGCCTTCGTTACCTATATGGCGTTCCTTACTGCAGCGCGATGGCTGCAGGGCAGCGCGCCAGCCACAGGGCTCCATGGGGCCTTGCCGCGCAGGATCTTTGCCGCGCTCGCAGATCACAAGGACGCGAGCCGTACGGAACAGCGCATAGGGCACCGGTACGCCGACTGGCCGATTGCGCCTAACTGGTTGGGGCTCCATCTGGCGCCCCCAGCTTGGGTTGCAGCTGGAGGGCCGCTTTCCCATCGAGGCGCGTCGTTCCAGGGGGGAACCCATGTTTTGCTGGTGTCGAAACGCCTGTCGGCGCCGTCCGCCGCCTCGTCACCCCGCGCCGTCGCACCGGCGATCGGCATCGCTCGCGGGCGAAAAAACACATCAGTCATTAGGGCCCCATGCCGCAGTGGCGACGACGACGACGACGAGGAGGACGATCTTCACGGCGGCGCCCTCGTGAACAACAGCCGCGACGACGTCCTGTCCTCATCCGATCCCGTTTATTCGTCCGCGTCGTCGTCGTCGTCTAGAGCTTTGCTCTGCCTGGCCCCAAGTTGAAGTCAATTTGTCGCCGCGCCGCCCGTTCCGACGCGCGGCCCCACGTCTCGGGCAGGGCGCCGCGGCCCCCGGGGCAAACGCCGCCTCGGATGCGAGGCTCTCCGCGGGGTTGGTCGCGGCGCCGGCTTCGTCTACTTGGGCGCGCTCAGAACCAACGGCGCGGCGACACATGCACAAGTGAGAAGCCCTAAGCGACGCCAAGTCCTGAGTGCAGGCACCGCTTTGGGAGGCGTGCGCACATTGCTCCACTCGCCATGCCGCGATAGGTACCAGCAGAAGTTCCAGAAGCGCGTCAACGAGCGCCTGGAGGCGCCTCCTCGCCGCCCTGTCGCTCCCTTCCGGGATCCCGCTCGGTGCAAGAATTCCCGAACGCGTCGGGCGGAATTCCGCTTGTCCTTGTCTTGGTTTGGGCAACGTTCCGAGGAGCAGGCGGAGGGCGACGGCAGTGACGAACAGCGGGGGCAAGCGGGGGAGGAGAAGGAGAGGCAGGGTGGGAGGAGAGGTCATTCTGAGAAGCCCGAGGGGATGAGAAGCAGGAAGCTCGAGACCAAGACGGAGGAGAAGAGGAAGAGGAGGCCAAGCACGAGGGCCATCTGCGGGATCCACCCCCCGCCCCGCACTCGCCCGCGAGCGCGCGCCGCGCGCCTGGCGGGCCAGCCCCAGCCTCCCAGCAGCGGCGGCGGTCAGGGGGCACTGCCATGGCATCGGAGGGGTGTCCAGCGTCAGGGCGGCCCTGCATCCACAGCTGACGAGCCCGCGAAACATGATTTCATGGGGCTGCAGTTGCACGCCGTCTCGCCCTTCAACGGCGTCGCAATTCATGCGAGGCGCGGGCGCGGCCTGGCAAGTGCGACGGCAGATGCGCCAGGAAAGACGACCCCGCGACTGCGGATCGCACCGAGGTGAAGCCCTACGCTCTTGCACCCAGCGGCAAAAGACAGGGTGCCCTGACTTGTACAGATTCAGCCTCGGGTGCCAGAGGTCAAAGACATCGTCCTGTTCAACTTGCCCTGCGGCATTGGCAAAAAACACGAACGAGACGAGTGCGACCAGCACGGCCGGAATACATCCACAATTGGGGCGCATAGTACAGCGAGGTCGGTTCGCCCTCACAAATGTTCTACGGGGGCCAACTTGATGAGCTTCGAGGGCCACCAGCGGACCTGCGACAACAAGAAGCAGAGCTTCGAGAGCCACCAGCAGGCCTGCGACGGCAAGAAGGAGAGCTGCGAGGACCACGCACAGAGCCACGAGGCCCACCAGCTGAGCTGCAAGAGCCACAAGCTGGGCCTCGAAGACCACCGCCACACAACTGGAGCGCGGATGATTACGGCCTGGCAGCCGACGAATCCGATTTCGACCGCGGGGAAGCGACGGAACCAGACGAGGAAAAAACCAACAAGGACGCAGACGAGGAGGAGCCCAAGAAAGCAGACGAGCAGGACGACTACGAGGAGCGCGACCTGAAGGAGGGGGACGACACGGAACTACGTGGGCCACTTGGTGAGTTACGAGGGCCACTGACCGAGCTACGAAGACCACAGGCGGGGCTACCAGGACCACGCGCTGAACTACCAGGGCCACAAGCAGAGCCACGAGGACCACGAGCCGAGCTGCGAGGCTCACCCGCCGAGCGACGATGGCCACGACCTGAGCTACGCGGGCCCCAAGCAGAACTACGCGAGCCTTTTTGCAGAGGCACCAGAGCCTCCAGAAATTTTTGGTCAGCACAAGCTGAGCTACGAGGGCCACAGGCACAGGTGCGAGAGCCACCAGGAGAGTTCCGAGGCCAACCTGCAGCTACGAGAGCCACCAGCGGAGCTACGAGAGCCACGCGCTATGCTACGAGGACCGCAAGCCTTGGGCAGAGCCACGAAGTCCATTTGAGAAGCTACGAGGGCCACAGCCTGAGCTCCAAGGCATTGCGCAGAGCCCGTAGAGACACCAGCCACCAGCAGACCTTTGAAGACCACAAGCTGGGCCACAAGGACCACGTGACCAGCTGCGAAAGCCACCTGCAGAGCTACGGGGCTCACCTTCTGAGCTACGAGGGCCACCAGCAGAGCTACGAGAGCCGCAAGCTGTGCTACCATGACCGCGAGTTGAGCTGCGAGAGCCACAAGCAGGGCTACGAGGACAACCAGCTGCACCACGTGGGCCACCAGTTGGGCTACGAGAATTACAAGCAGAACCATGACGACCACCAGCTGAGCTACCAGGGGCGCCATCTGAGCTGCGAGAGCTACCTAAGGAGCTACCAGGGCGACATCAGCTGCGAGAGCCACCAGCGGAGCTACCATGGCCACAGGCTGAGCTACGAGAGCCCCCATCTCAGCTATGAGGGCTACCAGCTGAACAACGACGAGAGCAAATAGCTGGGCTACAAGGGACACGCGCAGGGGGGCGAGGATGAACGGCTGCGGTCCGAGAGCCACCAGCTAATCTTGCGCTGCGAGAGCCGCAAGCAGAGCTACGAGATCCACCAGGGGTGCTGCCAGGGCCACAAGAAGTACTACCAAGGCGCGTCAAGTGAGTAAGCCATCGCTACGGCTACGGTTTCGTAGAGAGCGCGGGTACAGCGTGAGTTTGATTGCGATGCCTACGTCAAGAAGAGCAAAAATAACGACTTTCGAATTGGGGACGCGGTGTCCTTCACCTGGACGCTCAGCAACGGACAGGTGCACGCACTCGCCGCACGGAGGCGAGACCGGCCTGCCTGAAGCCGGAGGAGATTACTTATTAGTTCAGCGTTACGGGCAAAGGTATATTAGGACTTCCTTGCGCACAAGATACCACGTCCATTGTCTTTGCGCTGTAGGCACCATCATCGCCATCATGTACTGCGCAACATTACCGACAAGGTTCCCCCGTGCACGGCGCAAGTGGCAATCTACAACCTCTATGGCATGTGCCGCTCCTGCGGTCGAGTGGCCCCGCCGCCGTGCCCCTCCACCTTTCCGTGGAGGCCCCAGTAGGATTATGTGAGCGGCGGCCCTCCTTCCCCCCGCCCCCCCCTCTTCGGAACGGGGAGGTGCCGCGCCGGGGCCCTGCGGCGCGCGCTGGCGCGCGCTGGCTGGGCGCGTCGCGGCGACCGCGTGGGTGACGCGTTGATCGGTTGCGATGGGGGAACCAAGCACGACCAGGGGTAGGAGGAGGAGGAGGAGGAGGAGGAGGAGGAGGAGGAGGAGGACGAGGAGGAGGAGGACGAGGAGGACGAGGAGGCGGAGGTGAGGAGGAGGAGGAGGAAAAGTAGCTAGAAGGGCACGGCGAAACATCCCGGATAAATACTGACGCTTCGCGCAGGGTCACCCGTCATTCGCCGCTCCAAATACGAAGCCCAGGAGATGTGGGATGACCAGGAAATTGTCGGAGCAAGATAAAAGGGGGCAGCCCTTTATTTTTCAACTGAGAAGGAGGATGGATGACTAACTTGGCGGCGGGGAGGGCGAGGAGGTGGAGGAGGGCGAACATACGAACAACGATAATACTACGAATACTTCATATAACAGTTGTAAGAGTAAGAACATGATGCTAAAACGAATGGTAAGGAGAAGGAAAAGACGAATCATCATAATAAGAAGAAGAGGAGAAGGAGGACGAGGATCTAGATCAAAAATAAAAATAATAAGGGATCGGCAGAGAGAGAAGCAAAAGGAGGAAGAGGAGGAGGAGGAGGAGGAGCAGGATGAGGAGGAGGGGGAGGAGAAGGATGATGATGGTGATGATAATGATGATGATGATGAGGAGGAGGAGGAGGAGGACGACGAGGAGGAGGAGGACGAGGAGGGGGAGGAGGAGGAGGAGGAGGGCTCGTGCAGAAGGCCAGAGGCTCCTTGAATGCCCGGGGGGGTCCTTGGAGGCCTCTCAAGCCGTCTTGGATGCCTCTTGACTGTCTCGGGGGCCCCGCGGGGCGTCTTGGGTGCCGTTGCGGGGTGTCTCGTGAGGCCTCTCGGGGCCGTGCAGGCACCTCTTGGGGACCTCCTGGGGCTCTCTTGGGAACCGTCGAGGCCCTCTTGAGGCCATGTTGGAGGCCATCGACCAAAGACATAGGGGTCCTTCATTAGCGCCCCCTCCTGGAGCCCCTAAAACCGCCGCTGGGGGCCCTCTTGGAGCGCTTTTGGACGCTCTTGAGGCCGTCTTTTGGGGCCGCCTTGGGCCTCTCTTGATGCCCTTTTGGGCCACCTTGGAGCCATCTTGAGGTTTCGGAAGTCCATCGAAACCAATAGGCGTGCACTCCGAATACATTTGTGTTTGTTTGTAAGCGTGCTTGTTCCTAAGTGTTGGAAGGATGCTGGCCTCTTCGAGGCTCTCTTGGGGGTGCTCCGAGGCCACGTGGACTCGTAGTATTGGGGCGGTATTGGGGCCTCTGGGAGCATATTGGAAGCCCGAGCGACCTTGAGCCATATTGAACTGTCTTGGGGGCCATTTTGGCTTCCATGAAAACCTCTTGGATCCATCATGGGCCAAGCTGGACGCTCCAATGGGTCGCGGGTCGCCCCGTTCAGGTCCAGGGGGAGGGGGTTGGGGGAGGGGTTAACCCCTTCCCGAAGGGGAAGAGGGGAATGTGGAAAAGAGAAAACGCCCAAAACCATGTGATCACTTATGCCCAGAGGGCTGGTAGGATTGATCCCGCAGCCTATTTCCCGAAACCCGCCCGTGCGGCCTGTCCCTGTCGGGTTTGTGTTCCTCCGATCTTGTCTCCTCGGGGTTGCCTCCTTTGCTTCCAGGTTGGGCGTCTGAGCATCGTTCTTCACGTCCTCCGCCTCTCCTCTGTCCTAGTTATCCCTGCTCCCCCCCGTCCTCTCCTCCCTCTCTCGTGCTCCTGCCCTCCCTGCTCCTTCCTCCTCTCCTCCTCCCTCGCCTCCCTCCTGCGACGACGTCCCAGTGGAGTTTTGGAAAACGTTGAGACAGAGAAGATTGCTTCGTGCACAGCACAAAGTGCATGAGCAGGAGTTGGTAGAAGAAACGCCCAGGGATTGGCTTAAGCCCGTGGTGACGCCGATCTGAGCAATGGGGCCCCGACTTTACGGAGAATAACCGCCCGATGTTCTGTGAGCTTGGAGTGCATTCTATTCGCTGCTCTCGTGAAACAGCGGCTCCTCGAAGCGGGGGCCGACACGTGTCTCTCGAAATATCAATTTGTTTCCCTCAGGTCCGCTGTACGTAGGCTGCGATTAGCTTCTTGAGGAGGCACATCGACGCAGAGTGGGCTGCGAGTAATGGCCACGCGTGCATTCTTGTTCGGTAAACACGGCGGTTCAGTGTGTTATTGTTGGGGAGCTCCTCATAACGTGCATTATGCCTCTTTTGGCATATTGTACAGGCTAGTATAGGCCGCGAAAGGCCACAGGGCTGCTCAATGCCACTAGAGGCCGACAACAGGCCACCAACAGCCGCCAATATTACACGAAACGCCGCTAAATGCCACTAGGGGCTACGAAACCGAGGCGGTGTATGTTAGAATCAGCTTCCAAAACAACTTGCCTAACGGAGGCGATGCTCGCCGCCGTCGACACATTCGGCCTTCCAGACCACATTTGGGGCGTGATCTGCGACATACATCCATACTGGCCTCACCTTCAAGGTAATTGACGCCAGAGGGCCATCGAACGAGCACGAACAAAAGTCTGGAAATTACAGGGCTGCCCTCTTTCGCCTCTGCTCTTCATCATGGTGCTGGCGGCCGTCATGAGGGACACCTAGGACGCCCTGGGGCTTCCGCAGGCGACGCGCGTCGGCCAGTTGGTGCACGCCGGTGACGCTACCTTCATGGCTTGGACAAGGGAGGACATGCATGAACGGCTGAGAGCAGTGCAGGAGGCGGCCAGCAGAGCTGGACCTGCGTTGCACTGGTTGGATACTCCAACTCCTGCGAATCTAGTGTGACGGCGACGTCAGGACGCCGGCGGGCGACGTCATCGAAACCGTGGAAACGTTGTCTGACCTCCGCGCCGCCGTCAGTACCGATGGGGGAATGAAGTTACTTGACGACTTGGAGCGGCTTTCCCTTCGTGATTGAATGTCCGAGAGATGTTGGGCCATACGAGTATGGGGGAAACACGTGAGGTGGAATTCCTTCGTGCGACAGTTGTGCCCGAGCTTCTCTACAGCTTGGGCACGGCGTGCCTCAGCGCGGGAGAGAGGCGTCGTCTCGACGGCGTGCACTGCGGGAGGTTGAGGATGGCGCGCGGTGTCAAACGCCCAATGGTGTCAGATGCCTCGAACGAAACCATCCGCCAACGGACGAGTCAAGCACCGGTCACGAGAAGCGGCGCCGCCTGCTGACGCACGGCAGAGTCGCGAGGGGGTAACCGCGCGATCCGCTGAGGGATGATGTCTTCACGCCTGGCCCGCGGCAGCGCCTGACGGACCGGCACGTTCGCAGGCGTGGGCGGCCGCAGCTAGAACGGGCCAAGTTCGGGGAAACGTGAGACTCGAGTAAGCCGGAACCCGGGTTTGCCAACGTTTTTTGACGAGCGCGTCCTGGATTTTGACGGCCCAGGTTTCGCGGGACGTTTGCAGTGGGAGTTCGCGTCAGATTTCAGACTGGGTCTCGTCATTTTTATGAGGGACTCCGTCAGGCCAGCCCGAGTCCCCCGTGCCCGAGTCTCACGTCTCCCCGACAAGTGCCTGCATCAGCACGCCGTCCGAGTCGTTGGGGCAGATCGCAGCGGGACGACCTCGGTCAAGACGAGCATCCCTGGAGAGAGAGCACGCGGAGGCGGCGCGCGCGCCCCCGCGGGCTGCCGGCACCGCGCGCGCCTCCCCCCCCTCCCCACCCCCCCTCTGCCCGCGGCTGCGTCGAGCTTCCCGCGCGATCAGGCGGCGCCGAAGGCAACCGCCCTAGCTTTAAATCGGGCCTGTCCCTCTGCAGGAGGAATAATCAAGAATAGTCAAGAAAATCCGGGGACGAACTCTTGACAATGTTTGTCCATCTGGGGGGTATTTTTTGAGTATGTTTTACTTGTCGCCCAAACTCCCCATGCATGGGGACATGCCCGACGTAACCCTAGTTCCCCCCCCTCTATCGCGTTTCTTGGGTTGTTCACCTTGTCGTTCGTGCCTCCGTCCCTCGCTCCGCCTCGCCTCGCGTCCACGGTCGTCGTGCGTACCTCTCCCCCTTCGCGCGCGCTCTTCCCCGCCTTTAAAAGCGAATCCATTCATAATGTTGCCCCTGCCGGCGCGCTATCGGGCGTATGGTGACCTGACCTGACCTGATGTGCCCCCCTCCTCTACCTCCTGCCCCTTTTCCCTATTGTTGCCTCTTTCCTTCCCTGCGTTGCAGTTTCCCGCCCCCCCCCCCCGGCCGCCCAAGTCCAGTTGCGACTGCTGCCGCCGCCGCTGCTGCTGATTCCTCTCGTGGTTTGCCTCTGGCTCGCCACTCCCCCCCCCGCCCCAGCCTTTGGAGAGGCTGAAATTGCCGCGCACAAAGGCAAGCTGAACAAGACGGAGAGGGATATCCTGCGACAGAGGGTGGCGATGACGAATCATCAGTTCGTGTTTCTCTTGTCTCGCGAAGTCGCAGGACGATTGACACATGGCACAAGAGGTGCGGCAGTAGTTTCCCCAGCATGTGGCGCAAGATGACGCCTCCGCCGCATGCGCACCCGGGGAGCAGCCAGCAGACTTCCGACGCGTGTGGCGAATGCCCTTTGTGCCTGGAGAGTTTTCCTGGATCACATTTTGGACAGGAGGCGTTTTTATTATTGTTGCAGAGTGTTGTAGTGTAGTCGAAGTTTGCCCGCGGCTCCCCCTCCTCGTAGATGGCCGACGGCGGCAAAGTGAGTCACGCGTCGCAGAGTGAGGGTATTTGTCGGCGCGTGGGCGAGTTCCGATTCCTGACGGATAGACTGCGCGTGTCCATCATTGCCCGAGCTTCGCCAACTATCGTGGTCATGCTTGCATCTACCGTGTATATTTGCATGCGTTCATGTGAACACCGACCATCATGCACAATACCTTCAAAATGCGTTGCATACGCGCTCTACGGTTATGCACCTGGCGCGCATGCAATCGACATGCTGCGGCGCAGGCGTTTTTTCGCCTTCGGTCGCGTACCCTCCACTTATTGATTAGTTGGTTGATCGGTGGACGTCTTCTCGGGAACTTCGGTGAGCTCCTTGTAGTTACCTTGGGGCGCATAGAGGCTGTATTGGGGCAGTCTTGGGGCATCCTGGGGCCATCTTGGGGCCGCCTGGCCCTTGTTGGGCCATCGTAGGCGATCGCGGGGTCATCTTGGGGCATCTGGGAGCCACCTTCCGCAAGATTGATGCCATGTTTTGGTGGGGGGGCGGGCCCAGCAAGGCCCGCGCGCCGCGGCAGGTGGAGGCGGACGTCATCGAGAACGAGGTGCAGCTCTCCGGGGGCGACTTTTCGAAGCCGAACTTTTGGTCATTGGTGGTGTTTCGGTTCGCGCTCCTCCCCGTGACTATCACGAGGTGGTTGTGCTCGTGTGCGCAGTGGCATTGGAGGTTCACGGTCAAGAAGGCGGGCGGCCCCGAAAGCGCGTTCCGCCGTAATTAGGAGTATATCCAAATCCGCCGCGTCAGAGTCGCGCCCTGGGACCTCGGAGAGCGGTGGGCTTGGATACTCGCCCGCCCCGCGGGGAAGCATCCATCTCCACCGCTCCCCCATGGGCCCGGGGTGGGCGTGCATTGGTGGTGCGCGCGCGTCTTCTGTCACGCTGTTTCCATGGAGCAGTCTCGAAGTTCGCAGCGTGATCGTCGCGAGTATCTGATGCGTCGGTCCAGCAGGCACTTTTGGAGCGAGTCTGGGAGGCCTCGGCCGCGTCACTGCAGCTCTCGACCGCTCGAGTTGACCCCGAGCGGGGAGCTGCGCAAAGGTGACTGAGGCGTGGCCACGGCGAGCACAGCCAGCGGATTGGCCGCGGAACGGAACGGAATGCCCTGACGGGGAAGCGCGCCACACTAGACACCAGATGATCAGCACAAAGGCTGGAGTTCCTGGCTTCGGCGAGGGCCTGCCTTGACGCGACTTCTCGGTGCGAACTGGCCGCCGCTGGCCCGAGGGGGGGCAGAAGGGAGAGCAGAAGGATGAGGAAGAGGAACCTCTTATGTTCGTTTATTCGTTCCCCTTTCTCTTTCTCTCTTCGCCGTCTGCTTCCTCTTCCCGCCGCTGCTGTTGCTGTCGCGCGCGTTGCACTGAGCGCCTTGGCCAATTGTTTGGGAAAGTTGTGCAGAGCAGCGTATAGTTGGTCGAGTGGCGTCGAGAGCTGTTCCCCTCAATGGTGTCATCATAGCAGCTGAACAGAACAGAACAGGAGGAGGAAGAGGAGGATAGTAATGAGGAGAAGGACGAGAGGAGGAGGAGGAGGAGGAGGAGGAGGAGGAGGAGGAGGCGGAGGAAGAGGAAAATCAACAGAAGCAGGAGCAGGAGAAATGTGAGGAGGGCCAGCCTTTAGCATGGCGAAGGGGCGCTCGGTGGAGGACACTGTCTGGGGGGCAGGCAGTGCGCGCCAGATCTGCAGCCACTTCCAGAATGTACTTCCTGGCTCTATTTGGAGATGTCAGGCAGTTGTACGAACGTATTGTACACACGGGTCTTGCTGATCAATGTGGTGTTTCAGGTTTTCCCTTGTATAGTTGGGCTCAGACGGCGCGGTCGCACCGATGGCCTCGGCGCATTTACTTGGAGGGGATCCTGAGTTGACAGATGTGGCCAGATGAAGGTATCATATCCGGCTCTGCCACAGCGATCTTCGAAGCCAAAGCATATTTGACCCCTCTGGCCCAGGATCCTGCTGTGTCTGTCACCTGGCAGGCGGGCGAGGGCACAGGCGTGGCTGTGCACATCGATGACATGTTGTTTTCCTGGAATATTTTCATCAAAGACTGCGCGAGTCAGATGGTGACGCTCGCGACTCGTATGTACTCTGGCTTGGAAAGGGCCAATATTTCCCGTACTATGCGTAAGGTCTGCTCTGCTGCCTCGTCGGCCAAGTTGTTGGACGCGGCTCGGAAATGTCTCCCTGCTGAGCTCTTTGGTGCCGGGGTTCACTCTGCAGCCAACCTTGGCATTGACTTCTCTGCAGGGGGGGCAAGAGGTACCGAGTCAGTATTGCGAGTCCCGCGGTGGACCAAGGCACGAGGTCGCATCCGCAAGCTTCGCAACATCAAGCTGACCTCCCCCACTCGCAATGGTAAAAGCATCAGGCCCAGGTTCTTCCAAGCGTCCGCGCAGTCTGGACTTGCGTTTGGGGGCAAGGTTCATGGCTACACCCCCTCGGAGCTTGTGCGCCTTCGTCAACATGTCAGGAGTCTGTCAGGACACCCTGCACCTGGGGCCCACGTCGATATTTGGTGGGCGTTTGCTCCGGAATCGGACCCCATGGACCTGGGTTCGAGTACCCTTTGGCGGTATTGTTATGAATGGTGGATGTTGTCTGGCACGTCGCCACTCCAGCACAGGCATGCTGACATCATGACAGCCGAGGAGTTGCGCAATGTGTTCGAGAGGGCTGTTCTCCATCTCAGGAACACCAAGAAAAACATCGCGGCTTGGAAAATCCCGCGGTCCTCTCACCGAGATGCTGCACTGGGTTGCTCAGGCGGGATGGTCGTTCCAGGATGCTACCTATCTTGTGAGCCCAGAGGGCAGGCCTATTCTCTCCTTGAGTTTCCTCCCCAGTGGCTCACCTCCCTTCTTTCATGAAAGCATATTAAGTCTCGTAGTCTGCAGGTTGTTCTGGCATCCAAGCTCGGCGTGAATCCCCACCCCTACGGGCAAGCAGTTCTCGATCAGGGAATGTGGAGAATCCAGATCTGCCGAGTGCTTAGGCAGTCCAGAAAACTCTGCACTCGGGAGATGTCGTGCATGCGTGGGCTCTGGAGGATTGTCTGGTTACTGCCACCCTCTTGTCTAAATGGGGTTATAAAATCTCCCAGAATGCCCGCGCTGCAACGATGGTACATTAGACGCCCCTTTCCATCGACTCTGGGGGTGCCCCCGTTACGCGCCCCTCCGGGACCAAGACTTGGGGAAATTTGTTGAGCGGGCAGTTGCTGCAGGCCACGCCCACCCGCTCTATGCGCATCTGTGGTTTGCTGCCACTGATGTCGACCCCCCAGTTGTAGATTGGAGCTTCGTCTACAGAGACGGGCAGGGGCCCTGCGATAAGTTTCAAGTCGATCCCAGCCGACCCCAGTTTTGTTTATGGTTCGTGCCTCAATCCCGGGGTGGATATGCTGGAGAGAGGAGGGCTGGCGGCGTGCCAGATAGGCGATGATGGCGACCTCCTGCGCGTTGTTTCGTCTCCACAGCCGCGGATTTTGCCCCAGCATGCTGTTCATTGCGAGCATTCTGGGTTTGTCATGGGCGGGCTGCATTCTGATCTGGCGCAGTCTCCAGAATTTGCTGTGGATTGCAGGGCCCTCTTCAGAGGGATGACGCAGCCGGCCTCTAGCCTGAACGGCGCCACTCTTTTCAGCAGGACCGCGTTCATATCCTCGGCAACAAAATGGCCGACACTCTAGCCAAAAAGGCGGCTGGCAAGCACGACCTTGATCCCACCACCCGCTCAGACACGACGATTGCTCTTGAAGATGTTCTGGAGCTTGTGGTTGGTGCTGGGAAGGTGCTTGCTAGCTGGCCTCCTGCACGGGAGTACTTTGGCCCCCTGTCCAAGGTCCCTCGACCCCCCCTCCTGCCCGCCCCTATGTCTCCCCCCACGCCCGCACCTGGACAGGCAAGGGCTATCGTTGCACCACGTGTTTAAAACGCATCGCCCCTCATTGCAGGAGGCAGCGCTCTCAAGAAGATCCCCAGCCCCTCACGCATGCAATCAATCAGCGCCGTGCCCTTCACCACCATTCCCTCCATATGGGATGTATTGATGGGAGCAGCACGCCAATCATTTATTGGGGCTGCAGCATGGCGAGGGGCACCAAGCTCCAACAGCTCTGCCTCAGTGAAGACCACCGCGAGCGTCAGAATGTGAGGCGCTCTCTGGTACCCAGCCCCCCCCCACCCCCCGGGTCAGCAGTGAGCTCCGCAAGCTCCGCCGGGGCGAAGTGCCTGGGACCACCCTCGCCTTCTCCAGAGTCATCCACTTGGGGTGATTAAGGGTTGGGACGTCCAGACCGTGACGCCCAGCCCCCATCGGGGGTGATAGAACGCAGGGGATGGGAATTGAAGGAGGTACGGGAATTTAAGGGGGTACAGGAGTAGGCCAAAATCTGTGAAACGATGTTCCTGTTAATTTGCCTTGGTATTTTCTGCACACCGATGCTCTAGATATCTGGTCGGGGCGTTGTCGGCGCGCCAGGGCGAGGGACCTGGCAAATATCATGGAGTCGGCGCGCCAGCCGCATGCCACACGTGCAGCTGCAACCAGAACATCCTGAGGAGGACGGGGCTGATGTGGATCCAGCCCCCGTGAATTGTTCTGGTGTGGGGTTCAATTTGGGGTCTAATTTTCGGGGCTGGGTCGCATCTTTGTCAGGCGCGCTTTGGCTGTGCTCGCACGGCCGCGCTCTCCAGTGCTACCAGTGCTAGCAGGAGGAGATAATAGAGGAGGATCAAGCCAGAGCTCTTCCAAGGCGAAGGAGGGAGCAGGGAGGAGGAGGAGGAGGAGGAGGAGGAGGAGGAGGAGGAGGAGGAGGAGGCCTTGGACACTGGCCGCGGCTGGACGCAGCTCGAACAGGTCGATCCCCAGGGCCCCCTGGGGCCTGGGGATCGACTCTGCTCGGATCTGGGACGGAGCCCTGTCGGCTGTCGGGCCCCCCGCGGGGGGCGCGTCAGACGGTCGCGCCTCGCTCGCCGCGGCCTGGGCCGGAGGGCGCGGTGAGAGCCGCGCCCGGCGCATCTCGTCACGAAGGCCGAGGTGAGGTCGTCAGCGCCCCCAGCCCACCGGCTGCACCGTAGCCCTGGCAGGCCGCCGGTCGGCCCGAGGAGCCGCTGCTGCCCAAACGGGGTGGGGAGGGCCCACGCGGCATGGAGGTCTCGCGTGGCGCGGAGAGCGGAGTCGGGAAGCCTCAGCGACGGCGGGGCCGCGCAGCTCTCGGTGGACCTCGGCGGTGCGTGCCGGAGGAGGAGGAGGAGGAGGAGGAGGAGGAGGAGGAGGAGGAGGAGGAGGAGGAGGAGGACGGGGGGGGGGAGGAGGAGGGTGAGGAGGACAGTTCATCGATGAATGGCCAGATCCGCTTTTTCGTTGCAGTTGCCACGCCTGCGTTTTGCATATGTGCCGAAGCTGAGCAGGTGCAGGCTCAGAGCTTGATGGCAGCGCAAACGTTATAGGTATGACGCGGTCGATGAGGAGGAGGAAGAGGAGGAGGAGGAGGAGGAAGAGGACCAGTGCAAACCCAAGAGTCATCATTGATGTTGGAATAAACCATCTCTCTAAGCTCCCTCTTCGCAGGCCCCTACAACGGTTGATTCCCATTGAGGGAACTGCCGTGTTGGAAGACAACCGTTTGAGGACCCTGAAGCATGCCAAAACATTGTTCTCGGGATTCCAACGCCCCGGATCAACCTGACTCTGGCGTCTTGACGATCCTGAATCGTGCCAGATCGCAACACAGATAATCAACATAACTGTTGCACCCGCATAATCCGGATTTCAAAACACAATTTCTGGTACGCTGATGATGGGAATCCGTGAAACTCTTGCAAGTGTTTAAACCGATGTACGCGGCGCTAAGGCGAGAGCCACATTTTGAAAAGGAGCCGCTCTCAATCCGTGA